GTGACGTAAGCTACCTGGCATGAGATCCACCTCATGGGAGCAGTAAATAGCAATGTTGGCACATTAGAACCAAAGCATACAATAAACGTCCCTAGGTCAGTAGTGGTATAGAGAGGAGACTTCCTTATTAAGGGATTCTGTTTATAAAGTAAAGGAACGAGGGGCAGAGGAGCCTGTCATCACTCCACAGCAGTGACTGCTATTGTGAGATTCCCAGGACACTCAACTTGGGACCAGACTGTGAAGACAGTCCAGCTGTGTGCCTTGTCTGCAAATGTCTTCCCAAGCTGCTTAATAATTACAAAGGGACAAAATACTCAGTCATGTAACAGTGGACGTCCACAGCTGGCATCTCAGGCAAGTGGTCACATAGTGATGCAACCAGTAAATGCCTCCAAACACAGGTCTCTACAAGGACACGCATCCCCCCTCCTGTCACTGGGACATGAGACAGACCTGAGTCAGGGCATTCTACCAAGTCACTGACCTGCAGTTTTGAAAAGCATTCTGGTCATTAAAGACAAGGGAAGACTGAGGCACCAGCCAGACGTCAGGAGCCTCTGGGCAGCATGGAGTCCTGTGTGGAGCACTGAACAGGAAAACTGGGGGCATCTGAACCGTGCACTCGGCACTGGGCCATGTCGTTTCTCAGGGTTGCTATTGTGGCTGTGCACTATCACCTGTGCAAGGCTGGTGCAGCTGGTGAGGGCTGGGGTCTGCTCTGGCAGCCCTTCTGCATGTCCAAAGTGACCCCAAACAAAATTGCTTACAAAGAAAAGCCAAGGTTGAGAAGACTTCTGAGTTGTGTCCTTTGCGGCCACAGGGTCGTCCTTCCTATGCAGTAAAATTTTAGACAGCACAATCTTCTCCTGGCCCCACCTGGATGCACTCAGCCTAGGAGCAGGATCTCCTGCGAGCTCACATCTGTCCATAGCCATGTTCAGCCCAGTCACATGTGCTCTGTCCAGCAATACGTCAAGCTCATTGTCTATTCTGAGAATTGCACTTAACAGCAAGATTGAGTTTATCCATTTAAGAATAAAGGGATGAGCCGGGCTCGATAGCTCAGCCTGTAATCCCGCGTCTTTGGGAGGCTGAAGTGAGTGGATTGCCTGAGCCCGCGGGTTCGAGACCCGCTGGGGCAGGCGAGACCTCATCTCTACAATAAAATCAAAAATTAGCCGGGTGTGGTAGCGCACGCCTGTAATTCCGGCTACTCGGAAGGCTGAGGTGGAAGGATCGCCGGAGCCCAGCAGGTCGAGGCTGCGGTGGCCGGGAGCAGCCACTGCACTCCAGTCTGGGTGACAGAGTGAGACTCCAACTCAAAAAAAAAAAAAAAGGATGAGACCTTCAAGAAATCCATAACCATAATTTCAAACCACTGATACGAGAATTAAGAGTGACCATAGAGGGAGGCTCAGGGAGCAGGAGAATTTGCTTCCTGGCCCATTTGCTGACTGACCCACCCCCTCATGCCAGTGTATTCCATCCTTCGAATTTTCTTCTGACCAAGTAAAACATGCTCTGTGGGCAGGAAGCCCAGTTCCTCCGCACTCTCCACTCCAGCCAGGCTGTCACAAGTTTCTTTCCTGAACACTGCTGTGCGCATCCACATACCTCTGTTCAGAAGAGTTGTTCTTGCATGTTTTCATTGCATTTTTTTCTCATCTTTTACTTGCCTATGTGGTCTTTCTACTCCAGACTCACCCAAAATGATTTTAATTGTGGGACTATGGCGAAGACAATTTTTTGTTGTTTTAGTAAGAAACACAAAAAGTAAGTTAAGGAGTAGGCTGGGATAATAAAACAATGAGAGAAGTGCTTCCAGACGCAAGGAGTGGGAGTCCTGGCAGTCCTGAGTGGCTGGCGTGAGCACCCATGGCAAGTGGCCCAGGTGCCATCAGATCCGCCCCACCACATGTACTCCACGTAGTCGTTGCAGTGTGGCATTTGGCTACTCACATGACCTCGGGGATTACTCTTTCCCTAAAATTTGTTTGATTTTATTCTTTACGCTTTTGGCTGATATATAACAGAACTGTACTTTCTGAAGTCTGTAGTTTTAATAGGTAAATATAACAGTAGCATTTATTGAACACACTATTTCTGGTATTGTGCATATCAAGCACGTTTCACATAATTCATGTGTACCACCTGTTATCACTTCTGTGTTGCAGAAGAGGAAACTGAGGCACACAGCTACGTAGTGACCCCAGGGACACTGGAAAGGCTTGTGGCAGGCAGCACTGCTGCAGAACAGGCTCTGGTCCTAAGCCTGTTCCTCAGGCCACATGCAGTTGTACAGAGATGGCAGTAATGAGTGCATGTGATAACCATCAGTCAGAATGACACATTCTTCCTCTCAAAACCAGCTGAAAAGGCCCAGGGCCCAGGAAAGGACACAAATAGTGTGAACCCATGACACAGAAGTAGCTTCTATAAAGAATATGTTTGTACCATCAAATATTGTGAGGTTTTATCTCAAAGCTAAAGTGTGGGAGTCAGTCATGAGCATCCAGGAGCAAGGTACATGTGTTAATCTAATTACTTATCTTACTGGTGGCTTTTGCAGCCATCCCACTGAGTATGTGGTTTGCTAATCTGCAGTCTGCTTGGACACAGGCACATTCACATGTGTGCAGGCCTGAGTGCTATTGGAACATGGCGCCTTTTGACATGCCTATATTCCTAGCAAGAGAAATGGCATAGACACCCCATGAGTCTCTTGACTTAAAGTTGAACACATTTCAGCAAGTCGAACTATAGAGTAAACTTCTTATTTCTTGTGTCAAAAAAGTTAAATTTATTTTTAAAGTTTTCAAATAAAATTACCCACATATGGCCAGGTGCCGTGGCTCATGCCTATAATCCCAGTACTTTGGGAGGCCAAGGTAAGAGGATTGCCTGAGCCCAGTCTGAGCAATTTGGTGAAACCTCATCTCTACAATAAATAAAAAAATTAGCTGGGCATGGTGGCACATGCCTGTATTTCCATCTACTTGGAAGGTTGATACTGGAGGATCACCTGAGCCCAGCAGGTCAAGGCTGCAGTGGCTGTGAGCATGCCACTGCACTCCAGCCTGGGCGACAGGGTGAGAACTCCAACTCAAAAAAAAAAAAAAAAAAAATTAGCCACATACTCTAATTCCAGATGAATTTTATGACCAAAGGCCAAACATCCACTATTATTCAAAAAAATGTACTTGGGAAATATGTACTTAGAGGATTTATTTACAACATGCAACTGTTGAAGTTAAAAGCTTTCTGCCTTTTTAAAATTAGTATTGCCTTTTAATAAGTTATGATATGTCTAAATCTTACTTTTCATACTTACATGTGGTAAGGACTTGGGCTTAGTCAGCATCTTCACACACTTGAAACTTGTCACCGAGAAAAATATTTAAATCCGTCCCCATAACTGTCTTTTATAATTAAACTGCACCTAGAATTATAATTCATAATCTGCCTTTAGCAAGACTCCATAGGAATATGGCCACAGCTCCTCTCTCAGCACACCTTCCTGCAATGCTGCATGTCTGTGTCTGAAAGGCATCAGCAGGCTCGAGGTAGATACGGATTCATACTCTAACTGCATGCCCACGTCTTCCCACATCCCTGCTGTCTCCTTGGAGCCTCTTTGAGTCTGCCCTTCTTTTGAGCCTCTTTAAATAGCCTCCTGACTCTGAGAGCTGCCCATCTGCACTCTGTCCAAGAGTCTCTTTCATGGGTGGGGAACCCCAAATCAAATACAGAATGTCAGGCTCTGATTGGTCCCACATCTCAGTGCTGCTACCTGCAGCATGAACTTGAGGAAGCCACCATGTATCACAAAATGGAAAAAATATCTACCCTGTGCAACTGAGATGCAACATCATATGAGAAAACACATGCAGACATACCAGCTAAAGAGTGATCTGGATAGACGGGGGTTGTCTCACCCAAGCTGTTCTCAGAGGTAGAGACAAGGCTCTGCGGGGCGGGGGGGGCTCACCCAGGCTGTCCTCACAGGCAGAGACGAGGCCCTGTGAGGGTGTCTCACCCGGGCCATCTTCACACGCAGAGGCCCTGTGGGGTCTCATCTGGGCTGTTCTCACAGGTAGAGACGAGGCCCTGTGGGGGTCTCACCAGGCTGTCCTCACAGAGATGAAGCCCCCCCCGGGGGGGGGGTAGTCTCACCCAGGCCATCCTCACAGGCAGTCACAAGGATCTGTAGGGGTCTTACCTGGGCTGTTCTCACAGTCACTGGTGACAGTCCTCCTGATGTGATCACCTTGGGGAAGCCTTTAGCACCTACAAGTAAGTGCAGTTGATCAGTGACTCAATCTCCCTTCTTGGACTGTAGGTACCTCAGGAATGTGGCTGGGCCATGAGCTTGTGGGCCTGAACCCTCCTACCTCAAGCTGTCCCTAACAACCTAAAGTTTACATAGTGAAGGTTGTTGCACAAGAACCCATTCCATCTATACAGAGTGTACTGACATGACAACTTTTCCAGGAAGGATTTAAAGGATGAGTTTTTACTTCAGTTGGGACAGGCCATCCTTACTGAAGAGATGTCACCTTTTGTATTTTTTGATCTGAAGAAACTAAAAAGTAAATATAGGAATATTTGTTCCCAAGAAATAAAGTGAAAGGAGAGATTATTTTTGTTGCCAAGAGACTCTTTATCCCCTAGTTCATTACAGTGTTTGTTTATATCCACCAACTCCTGGGTTACCTGGGTACCAGGGAGCCTACACCTGTGGCTTAACCATCACCGCAGATCACACCAGAGAGAGCGTCAGACCGCCACCTGAGATGCTTCCATAGACACTTGTGATACCACAGCTCCCACAGGTTGTGGCGTGAGAGGATCCCACACACATGGGTGGGCAGAGGCTGGGAGGGACGTGGTGAGACTCAGGGACTCACAGTCCCTCGGTCCCTAGGGAGGGACCCTGACCCTTACCATGAGTCAGGCATGTTCTGCTCCGCTAACAGCTCTTCCCCTGTTTACCCTAGGGGAGATCCTTGTCCTTTAAGACCTTCCTCATCTGGGTGTTAATCAGTATTTACCAAGGTAAGGCGGGCCCTGATTTTACTGAACTAAAGAAATGTTTGGGTCTTCTTTTAGCAATAGTGTTTTCACCTCCAGATTCAATTCCAACAGCTTAAAATTGCATCTGCAGTTTATTATTGCTTTCTATTTTATAAATTGATATTCCAGCAAAATGGATTGGTTTGTTTTGTTTTTCTACTAACACTTGTCACCTCAAAACTGACCTATTTTTAATTAAATTTCATTTTAATCTAGAAAAATTTTCACAGGCACTTATCACATTGTGTCCTGAACAACAGCTTTCTTTATAGTACAAAAGTGGGACTTTGAGAAATCTGGATTATGTAATGAGAAGTCATTAACCCTTTTTATTTAGTGTTCAGATCAATGGGAGATTGTTGAAAGTGTAATTAACAGATAGATCAGATACAGTGCTTGAGATGCACGATTATTTAATTGAAGTTGAGACCTGGCTTTCCCTCCAGATATCAAAAAGTTCGTAAGCCTCTACTTGACACTTCTAACTGGTCTAGCTAGTGCCACATCTTATTCCATCTGTGGTCCTGAGTTTGAATACCTGTGTGTCAGCATGTAGCCTGGGCCCAGGTGTCATCCCACTGCCTCACGCGCTCCCCTGACATTATCACATAACCTCCAGCCGATGTGCATAGGCCTTACTGTTTTCCAGGTGGCATCCTCATGTATGGGGCCCTGGTGCTGTTCGAGTCCGAGTTCGTGCACGTGGTGGCCATCTCCTTTACAGCACTGGTCCTCACTGAGCTGCTCATGGTGGCACTGACCGTGCGCACATGGCACTGGCTGATGGTGGTGGCCGAGTTTCTCAGCCTAGGCTGCTACGTGGCCTCGCTGGCTTTTCTCAATGAGTATTTTGGTAAGTTGCCCTGGAATTCTGTTTTGAATCCCTGTCTGGTAGTTTTTTAAAACTTTGTATGGTTACTGCGTAGTACACTGTCTTAAGGTACAGATCACAATCAAACCCGTATCAGAACATTTCACAACAGAAAAGCTTATTTTCATGGAAAGATCAAACTCCTTGCAATAATTTATAAGGTTAAGATTTTTACCATCTTGGCTTGTAAAAGATATTATAGTTGGGTGTATAGTTGAGTGTATTCCCAGGAATTCTTCCCACACAGGCTGTACTGCTTATCATTTGTCCATAACTGAAGCTGCCACATGATCTGAGGAGGAGCACCGTGGAGATGGGCCCAGCACTGAGCCACACGTTCTGTTGCTTCTTGCCCCTTGGACTCAGAGGCTCTGCTCTCCTCGCCTCTGCTCTCCTCGCCTCTGCTCTCCTCGCCTCTGCTCTCCTCGCCTCTGCTCTCCTCGCCTCTACTCAGGGGTCACTGTGTGCAGGGCTTATGACCACCTCACCAGCAACCCGACTGCAGCACTCCAGGCACCCTGGGAGCTCTGGGCCCAAGGTCTGTGCTCCATGCTCCTGAACGTGTGTCCTTCCCTGGGACTCCATTGCTGGGAGTATTTCTCACACATTTCCCAATCCAGCCCCACAGGTGTCCTTCAGGTGGCCTCCAGAAAGTGGTTCGGCCTCCCCAAACCTCCTTTTCCTAGAGTGGGGTGCTGCATGTGCCGTGTGCTGTGCCAGATTTGATTGAGCAGCCGCCCTCTTCCTCCCTCACAGCAGCCAGGTGGTTGTGGGCCCTCATGTGCCAGTCCTTCCCAGAGCCCCTGGCTCCTGGGAGTCGCCACACCTTTCATCACAGCTGCTCTCCCTGAAAGGAGTAAGCTTTGGAGATGAACCCAGTGTTGGTTTACTCTGAGTCAGTGTTCCCACCCCACACATGTCACAGAAGGTGGGGCTCTGACCTGCATTGTCACATCAGCTCATCCCTCTTCTTTCCTATATATTGGATGCATTTTCCAACCAGAGTTTGAGAATGCCAAAAACTGTGTCATCAGTCCTGTCCCTGTCATACCATAACTGACCAATGTGGCTAATGGAACATGTGACTCCCTCGAGGTTTTTGAGATCAGGGCAGAGAAAAGAGAAAGGACGTGCTCAGGTGAGACTGGCGGGAGGTCAGACCTGAGAATCTTGAGTGTTAAGTCTGATGTGGCTCAGTGCTGGGCCAGACCAGGATCTCCTGGTGCCCACGCAAAAGTGTGGAAACAGATAGTCACTGCATCCACACTGCATACGAAAAACATGATTCCAGAGTTGCTGGTCAGCACTGAGGCAATGTTCTCCCTGGCTGGGGGCAATTTCCCAGATGTCCAAACAGGGAGGCTGCGTCCCTGCCAGTCTCCACCCATGGCAGCCCAAGCATTGTCTTCATTGTCATGGCCAAGGCCCTGCCTGTTCCTGTCACCCCTTGTCATGATGGAGACGCTGTTGACTTGTAGGTCATTCACCTGCTGATCTGTACAAGGGATCTGAGTATAGAGCACTCTGTGGGTACCTGAAATGTGGCCTGCAGGAAGTAAACACAAACCACCACGCTAGCCTCTCATGAGACCACAAGGGTTCACTCCTGGAGAACCTAGAGGAAGGAAAAACATTAAAGCTCCTGCTAGTGAAGAAACACTCACAAAAAAAGTACCTGTGGCTCCTAAGAAATGGTTGTGTTCAAATTATAGTATCCTGCTACTTCTGTTTGAGAATGGCATTTAGAATTTACGTTCCCGTGTAGTTGTGAGTTCATGCACTTAAACATTTCGTGTTAATAGCGCGTCATCCCCATTTGACAACATGCACCGAACTCAGCACAGCCCTGCAATGGGAACCTCCTGCAAGTGTAGCACCTTAGTTGTGTGCTGTGGGAGCAAGTACAAAGTCAACTTTGTAAATGTAATCTGCAGAGACGAGCACAGGTTGTGGCTCAGGCAGGGCACACCCAACTCATTGTCTCCTCTATAGACTGGAGGGAACCCCTCTCCATTAGGGATGGCATGCAGATCAGCAGAGCCATGTTTATGTACATGTGAGAACTGCATGCAGGACTCCTGTACACCCAGATTGCACAGGCATTCTAGCAGTGTGCTCTGAGCTTCCCCTCAGATATCTCTAGATCTGGAGCCCAGGGGAGCATCTGGCGATATGCTTTTCAGTGACAGTAAGTTAATAACTGTATTTCAGTTATGTTTAAAAAGTCACATGGTAACAGGCAGCAACATGAAGGGGTTGAGACCACAGCTACAAATGCACCTCATGCTGCCATTTTTATTGCTTCTTAGTGAATTTCTTACTCATTAGCTAACCTCTTGGAATATCTTGACATCTCCTTTAATCTGTCCTTTATTTTCTTTATTCCTGTTTTGTTTTGGAACAGGTATAGGCAGAGTATCTTTTGGAGCTTTCTTAGGTAGGTGAAGTTACCATCTCTTTCAAACATACAGAAATTTAGCAAAACAATATTGATAAAAGAGCCTTAACTAATAGGAAGAAAATCCTCCTCACTCTCCCTGTTTCTCAGCAATTCTCTGACATGATAAGCTGCTGACTGTGGCCTTTCCCACCTGTGATGGGCTGAGTGCCGCTGGCCAGCCTCTTAAGTGTGTGGCTCCTGAGTGGACACATGGCCTTCAAACATGCCTGCCTTTTAAGTTTTCATGACTGGGCTCCTGGAGAACACTTTGGGGTTATAACCTGAAGGGCTTCCACTGTATGCAGACGTGGGCTCTAGACATGTCAGGTTCTCACAGGCCTCTCAAGATGAACATCCTTGGCCAGTCTCCACCAGCACACCTTTGTCATAGGGGGTCAGCAGGTTCATCTGTGGAGTGGCTCGGAGGGATCCCAGGCTGATGAGCATTGAAGAACAGACCAATGTGAGTGCTTGTGTTGTAGGAGGCACTGCCAGCTGACCTCTGTTGTCCACGGCCCCAGTAAAGCCAGCTCTGCCTTAAAAAAAAAAAAGTAGCCTAGCTCGTCCAGACAGGTCATGGAAGTTCCACTTTCTGGCATTCCCTCCCAGACAGCACTGTGAGCAGCACTACTGTGTGTCCTAGCCCTGCCGCAAGCACTGTCTACCCTCCAAGTGGCATCTGGGGATGTCAGGCATCTGCAGTCTCTCTCTGATACTTTGGTTTCCTCTATACTGTTAAAAGAAGAACTCATCACATGATACTCAGGTAAAACAGTCCTGCAGTCAGGACACCTACAGTGAGAGCTGGGCCTGCATCTTGTCGCAGGGACGCTGTGCAGCTGGCACCCAGAGACATTTGGGGTCTGCTGGGGTCTGAGGCTATGTGCCTGAGGGCCAAGCCTTCTGGGGTGGCTCCGATACCTTCCTCTGCTTCCCTCCAACAGATGTGGCCTTTATCACCACTGTGACCTTCCTGTGGAAAGTGTCAGCCATCACCGTGGTCAGCTGCCTCCCGCTCTACGTACTCAAGTACCTGCGGCGCAAGCTTTCCCCACCCAGCTACTGCAAGCTGGCCTCCTGAGGCCATGCGGCCACAGCCTTTCCAGAGAGTGCAGGGCACCCACCTGGCACCAAGGGAGGACTGCAAAAGGGGTCACTGTGTCGAGAGAGTCTGGTGGACAGACAAGGGGCACAGGCCTCTTCCTATCTGTGTGGGGGCTTCGCTCTGCTTTTCTGTTTCCCTTTTTATTGTTTGTCAGAATTTATTTCCATATTGAGGCAGCTCGACTTTCTATTGACACAAGCCCTAATGACCTCACCGTTACTGTAAAAGGTTTATCTGACCCCAGCATTCTAAGAATTGACACGAGAGCTTAATTTCTGCAGTTTCCTAACATCTGGATTCTTCCTTCGGTGTTATACACAGAAATTCCTTCCTATTTAAGTATAATAAAACCTAGGCGCTGTCAAGACCAACACCTGCACTTGCTGCTGTCTATCAGATGCCCACACCTGTCACAGTTGGCACAACCCAGCCCCACTGTGCGTCCTGTCTCCTGCTGAGGACGCACTCATTTTATGCCCACATCTCACTGGCCAGTGGAAGCCCACAAGCTCTTGAATTCTTATGTAAAGAGCTATTTTCTTCACACACTGAAGACATTCTGGACATCATTCCATTGCAGCTGTGAATGTAAACCATTCCCCAAGGCTTTGCTGTTAGTGCAGGAGTTCTCAAAGTTCTCATCCTTTTATATTTATAAACTCACACTCCAGCACCATTTCTGTATGTAGAGACCAGCTGTCCTGGAAACGCACACACTTAAGCTGTCACGCTTGCCTGTAACAGACTCTCCTGGTAGGCTTGGTTATAATACACACGACTAGGTGACATTAAGATGGAAGAGCCCTCTGTCTGTCTGCTGTGACGTGGTGTCTGCGAGTCAGATCCCTTGCTCCTGCTGAGCTGGGAGTTTGTAGGGCCAGGAGCCGGCTTTCTCTCCTGTGTGTTGTACCTGAGGTCGAATCCTGTGCATTGATGCAACCCGCAGCTGTGCCTGTCCTTGGAGGACACCTCGGCAGATCCTTGAGTAAATTGGTTGGTCCAGCACAGGCCTCTTGACTGAAAGGAGTGTCTGGTATTTTCTACAGCAGGAGCACAGTCCTCCCTGCACCCATGGTTTCTTGGCCTGATCCCCATCAGAGGGAGCATCCACCGAAGTCTCAGGGAAGGCCAGCTGTCAGAGTGGGCACCGTGGGCCTCATTGAGCTGAGGACCTGCCCGATGCCCCCATCCTGCTCTCCTGTCGCAACCACTTTTACAAGGAGCAAATGCTAGCACAGTAAGAGCAATAAAGCTTGTCTCCTCCTACCTGGTGGTCACGTCTTCCTAGCTGAGCGTCTCTGGCAGGTCCTTCAGGCCTGTGCCTTCTGAGTTCTAGGGCGCACTGGCCGGAGAGTGGTTGCTTATCCTTCCCACAAGGTGTCGCTGTTGCCTGTCAGTAGCTCTTGGAAACACTGGATCCTTTCAGAGGTTTCTTCTAAATATGCTGGATTCGTGGGTCCCAGAAGTCACCCGCTGGCTTGGTGGTTTGGGTTTCACGTATCTTTATCCCTTCCTAGGCAGCACAGTGTGCACAGGGGAGTGGGGACCATAGACTTTCCTGCAGATGAGTGGGGTCACCCTCAGCACCGGTGGCGAGCACCCTGTGGGTCTGGCAGTGGGCATGGTACTCTCCCCGAGAGGATGATTCGGGCTAGAGTAGACTGTGGGAAACCTTGGAAGGCAGCCCTTATCCTGCAGGGGACACCCCCGCACGGCTGGGAGAGGCCCGCAGCCCAACGCCCAGGTGGACATGGGGGAGGAGCTAGACTGCGTAGCCCACATAGCCCTGTAGTCTGTCGACTGAGGACAGCCCCGCCAGACAGCTGTGTGGACAAAATGAGTGCTGGTGGGACAGAAGCCCCTGCCGACGGCGGGTGCAGCATGGTGACTCAGCAGGTGTCTGAGATGAGGGGAGGACGGACAGAGAAGGGGCCCTAAGCGCTGCCTTCACTCCAGTGTGGTGCAGTGTCAAGTCGCTGCCTTGAAGACAGGGAGCAGGCTGGCCTTGATGCCTTATAGGTTCTGAAGTCGTGATGGCTCTAGTTATTTTGAGTTGACAGCAGCCCCAGAGGGACTTGGGAGGATGGCCTTGTCCTTTTTTTGCTGTTAGTGCCTAGCAGAGAGGCCACACCAAAGACATCCCAACAGGGTGGACCAGACAATTGACCTTTCCTCCCCCTTCTATGACAGTAATGGGCAGAACAAAGCATTTTCCCTAGGTGTCAGAGCCACTTGGAGATAGCCTGAAAGGACCACCTGTATGCCTGGTGCCCCGCAGTCAGGGCCCCACAGCTCCATTGGGGTCAGACTCCCAAGGGCCCCATGCAGCCTGACAAGCCCCTAATCCCTGCACAGTCCAGCCTTGGGGATTCCCAAAGGGGCGTAGCCTTGGACCCCCAGGCAGGGCTATGGCTGTTTTCTCCTTTGTGAAGACCTTCATCCTGGAGTCAGAGTCACTGGACCTCCAGGAATACTGCAGGACTCAGAGCTCTCCCAGCTGCCCGTGGGCAGGGCTGGAAGGGGTCCTGGAGGGGAGGTGTCCCAGGTCTCCCAATGGGCACACACTGTATTCAGGGGATACCTGTGATGGCCACCATGACCCGTACACACCCAGGAATTAGGGACTAAGCACACACCCTGACTTACCTGCTATCCTAATTCCACACCCACCAGTGTTCTTTTGCTCTGGCTGTGCTTGTGTTCGTGCCTCAGTCCACGTTGGCGCCACTGGGAATGAGTGTAGTTTCAGAAGGTTCCAGAAGGGGGAGCAAGAAGTCAAGAAATGGCGCCGGTGCAGCCAAGTTAGGCAGACACCCAGCTTTGGGATTTTTGAGGGAGAGGCTGGTAATGTGGGATCCTCCAACTGCTGAGCTCTGACAGCTGAACCCAAAATACAGGGGTTCCCCGGGAATTCCACATTTCCTCTGGCGAGAGAATTTCTTCTTGCCACAGGCACTTGTATACATGTGGTGTCTGTGATTTCCCTGAGTGAGGCGTGCTCCCCTTGGCATGATGAAGTCCCACATCTCCCAACAAGTGGCATGAGTGTCCGTGGGGTGAGAGCACTGGCCCTTCCTGGAGAACTCAGGGCCTGGCTACCCTCTCGAGGCCTGGAAGGTTCCATGCTGCAGCCTTGGTGTTGCCTGGCCCCAGAAACAGTGACTGGGCAAAAACCAAGGCCCCAGACGGCTCATGACCAATGACAGAACTTTCCAAGCATGTACACACCGTGACTCTAGACCAGGAAGGGAACGCTCCAGCCCTGTTTCCACTGTCCAGAAAATTTCTGCACTGGAGAGCCCTGGGCAGCCCTTCCAAGCCTGCTGCAGCCCAAGTGAGCACAAGAGTCTGGAGGTGGGCAGCTCTTGGCCTTGGGATTCTCACCTGAGGTGCAAACAGTGTGGGTGTCTGAATCTAGAAATATGAGTCCACTCAGGAACCATATGTACTTTTAAGATCATGCTTTGCTGGGCGTAGTGGTGGAGGCCGAGGTAGGAATCTTGCTTGAGCCCAGGAATTTAAGACCAGCATGGGCAACACAGCAAGACCTCATCTCTACCAAAAAAAAAATTAACTGGGCATAGTGGCATGCACTTGTAGTCCCAGCTACTCGGAAACCTGGTGGAAGCATGGTGCCATCAACACCTCCAGGCTTGCGTGCCCACCCAGGCCACAGAAGATGTGGAAGGGCTGCCCAGGATTCTCCGGCACAGAATTCTCTGGACAGTGGCTGGAGTGTTCCCAGGTCTAGAGCTGCAGCATGAGCACACCTGGAAAGTTCTGTCAGGTGGCAATGATGTAATTGCGCCACTCCACTACAACCTGGGTGACCGAGTAAGACCCTGTCTCTAAAATGATTGAAAATAAAAATAAATAAATGAATAAGTGTTTAAAAGACCATGCTCTGTGTGAATGCCCAAGTTCTCCCATGGCAACACCTAGATACCCACCTTGCACCCTCGAGAAGAGAAAGGCCCTGAGAGCAGGCATGCCTGGACATCAGAGACCTGGATTTCTGTATGAAATCTCGGGATTTTAAGTGTGGTTCCCCAGATGGGTTAGTGGAGCTTGGGTGGCCCAGGAGGGCCTCGTGGCACAACCACTCTATGTCCCTGCCAGCCACAGGTGGCCTCAGATGTTTCTGTCCCCAGTGTGACTCAGTTTCCCCCTTGGTAATGATAGCCATGGCTCCCGAGCAGCATGGCTGTTTGAAGACATGGGCACAGGCAGGCCCCCATCCCACAGATGGGACCTAGGATTCCCATGACTTCTCGAGGCAGAGGCTGCGCATCAGACCCGGGTCACCTGTTGGGCCCTGTGGACTCTGATGCTCCTCCTGGAGGCTCCGGTGTTAAGGGGCCCTGACAGGGTGGGGGCCCTGGGCCTCCCAGAAGCCTTGGGGAAGGGGAAAGTGTCAGGGTCCTAAGTGGGCCTGACCCCCCCCCACCCATGCCCTCTGCTTTGAGGGGTGGGTCTGGGAAAATAGCCACGGGAGACTCCAAACTGTCACCTCCGACTGCATGCCAGCTCCTGGGCACCTGGTGTCATCTGCTTTCTATTCTCCAAGGGTCTGTCTGCAACCCCCAAGAGTGACAGTCCAGCGCTGCCCTACCTATGGCCACGGGACTATGTTCTGATGTCCTCATCGCAGCCAGCAGAGGAGGACACTCAGCCCAGCTTCCACACACAAGGGTGGGCTTGGAGACCGCCCCCTCCAGGGGAGCCATGGACGATGGGGACTGGATGACTTCACGGTCCAGGGGTCTGATTGCCACGCGGGTGATGCCAGATCCAGGCTCAGATGCTCCTGCAGACCCTGCCAGGACTGGCACATGTGCTGGGATGGTCTGAGAGATATGGTCTGGGCAGGGTGGTTCAGGGGGTCATCCAGTGGGGTGGTCCAAGGGTGGTGAGTGATTGGGACGTAAAAGTGAACTGAGTCCACAGGGCAGAAGGGAAGATCCAGGAGGGGATGTCACAGCCACAGGACTGCTGCAGAGGCAGTGACAGTCTCTGGTTCAGGCCTGTTACTGGGACCCTCCTGGTCTTACACCATCCACAGTCCCATGGAAATTCTCACTGCCTCCTCCAGGCTGCCTGCCTTCACCCGGGAAAGGCTTCTCTCCTTGCCTCCTGGTGAGTCCCCAACAGTCGATGACCAATGGGAAGAAGCACAAAAGTTGGCCGGGGGCCAAGAGCCTGGGGTCTGGGCTTCACCATCTTTGGGGCGCTCAGTGACCTTAAAACATAGGAGCCAGATGCCCACATGGGGACAGCACCCTGTCAGAGGAACAGAGATACAAGAGATCAGGCAGAGTAGCCACTGGCGGAGCCCTGGATAAGACATTTGAGGCCATGTTTAGGGACCCGT